GGGGGGGGTAGGGCGCGACGACGGCGTTGCGCTGCTCCTTCCGCTCCCGTTCAGTCAGTTTCGCGCCTCAGACGACGACGGCAGTGTCCCGTCCACCCCGCCGCTCCCGAGGCCCCTGCTGCTCTACCGGCTCCGACTCCGCTCCACTCGACCGCCTCCAGGATCGCCCTGGCTCAAGCCCTGGCTGCTATGGGCCCAGTGGGCTCCGCGGGTCCCCGCCTCCGCCTGCTCCCCGTGCTGCTCGCCGTGCTGCTGCTGCAGGTGGTGCTGCTGGGCGCCCCCGCCGTGGACGCCAAGCCCATGGCCATGGCCAGCCCGGACCAGGTACGCGTTGACACACAAACACACCACTGCCTGTACCCCTCGCGCCCTATCTGACTGCCCTGTTTCGCTTTGTAGGTGCTAGAGCACATGAGGCAGATACCCCAGTGGCACTGTCTGCGCTACCGCAAGTTCGACATGGTCGCGCAGCACAAGAGGTGTCGCCACTTCAGGATGGATCGCAAGCACTAGCCGCCTTACTCATTGAAGTGGGGTGGGGAGCAAAGAAAAGCAATCTGCAGAGTATTTAAATCTTCCCTACATATGGACTTCCATTACAAATTCAGGAATGTCACAACTTGCAGATTGCCACCTCATGGAAATTTTAAGATAAAGCATTACGGTAGGAAAAATGAGTGATCTCATTAGAATTTGTCGCTGCACTTATGAGGGGTTGGTATAAAATATTCCCACCACAAAACTCTTGAAATCAATCAAAAAAATTAACCATGCGCAAGCACATCTTTGATCATTCCCTTTATAGAAGTTGGTTGTTGGTTGAGGTTGTGAAATAAGTTTTCCTAACTGTCTACTGATTGAACACAAATAAAATGTATCACTGACCCCTCTGTCCATTTTTGCACAAATTCTAAGTTGTATATATTTTTATACTTAAAATTTTTCACTATTAATGTTGAAATGCGTGTCATGTTAACAAATAAAGATACTTTCCAATGATGTTGTGTACTTACTTCCTCCAGCTCTTTCCTACCAGCTATTCCAAGCCGATTGTGCTTTTTGAGTCCTTTGGCAACAGCAGCAGATGAAGACTGTTTGGCTATTAGAGAGCTGAAAGGTGTGAGCCCTGGTGTCCATTCTGGTAACCCTTCCAAACCACCTCCATTTGAATCATCAACTTCTTCAGCTCGTTGAAGGGCAAGTAACTCCTAAAATGTCAAATCAACAACTTAAAGTATTGCTTTCATATTCTTGACACCAGATATAATTTTATTGAGTGTGAGTCTAATTTAATGTATTGATAAAGCATACCTGGTTTGAGTCAATAAAATACAATTTGCTCCTAGATTGCCAGGAATGTCCATTCTTAATCTGTGATCTTGGCATAAATATTGCAGAAAGAATTTGGGTGTCAGAAGAACATATGTCTCTGTAGATAAATACTGGCTTGGAGCTGTTTGGTGCAAATACAAACACTAAACAACAAAAAATACAGAAATAGATTTTAAACACTTGGAAACAACAAGAAATACAAACTGAAAAGAATCAAAATAGGAGAAATCTTACGTGTATTATTTGTTGTGAAGGCAGCCATGTACTTTGACAAAGGGTCTTTAGTTAGAATGGACAATTTAAGGGGCACAGTCCAAACAATTGATAGTGTGAGGATATTCCACACAGTCAGTCCATGTGTAGTTCCCGTTACTACTAGATGGCAACAATCACTGTTACCAAATTGAATGTATCTGAAACATTGATATCAATATTAAATAGAGTATAGTATGTATTTGTAGTAAGAGATATAATTGCAAATATTTTTAACAATCCGTCCTGAACATGAAAGTAATTTTCCCTTCATGAACTTACAGAATAGGTGAAGGTTCAGTTGTGCTAGCTGATGAAAGACTGCACTTCAGACTACAACTGTCAGGATTCCATAAAGTGAGAGAAGAACCAAAAGAGACACCAAGAACTGATCCATCAGTTGAAAAGGCTGCATCTCTGACAGGTTGATCGCGATAATGTCCAACACTCACACATTGCCACATACTATTCTTTCCTGTAATAGAAAAAAGAAGAAAAAAAAGGTTTGTATAAATGATTACTAGTAGATACATAAAAAAGAAAAAAATTCAAACAAATATATACCTGATTGAAGACTCCATAAGCGAAACCTTTTATCTTCACCCGTAGTAACAGCTAATAGTCCATCATCCTGACTTTCAATTGGTTGAAACTGTAGAGCATGCACCCGTCCTTGATGAGGCAGTGCAATAGAAGTGTTCAAGGAATATCTGAGGAAATTTTGGTAAAAATCAGCTGCTATAGATTTCTTTGCCTTTCTTTACCCCGTTTTGACATCATAGTCATTATTATGTTTGAATTTATAACATTGGAACACTTACTTTTGACTGGTATCAATAAAATTATAGAATTTTAATGTAACATGTACACTCATTTCTCCATTGTCAATAAACTCAACAGTTGAAAGCCATTTTCCACAGGTGCTGAGAGCCACACGTATCACCTCTGTATTTATTATCTTTGTATTACGCTCTTGAGTCAAATAATTCTGTCCTGTAATATCAAGCTAAAAACGCGATATGGTCGTATGAGAAAAAATAAACAATGTCGACAGATATTAATTAGATTAAAATACTGATTCAGAAAATAATCAAGAGCTTACATTATACAAGAGACTGTGAGTGGATGGATCATAAAACTGTATGTGACCTGTACGACTATTCAAAACTAGAGAATGTGTTCTTCGGTCATGATTCAGGCCTGCGGGGAAAAGAGGACCATCTCCTGACTGGACTCCCCATGAAAAGTACTGAATTGTTTTGGTAATTTTACGCTGAGGATCAATTAACTGAATAGCTGCAACAATAGACATATAAAAAATTTAATAACTGATTGAGAGAAAAAATTAAATAAGAAATAATATAAGACAAAAATTACCATTATCTTGAGTAGACACAGCTATCACCAAATTGTCTTTAGATATACTAAGGTGGCAAATAGGTCCTGACAGACGAGGTAAGAAACTTTTCTCATTGGGAGTGTCTAAACGCCATTTTACTAAAGTGTGTTCACCACCTCCACTGTAAAAGAATGTACCTGAGAAGATAGGGAAAAAATGACAATTCAAACACAATACTTAGTATGCAATAAACAAAAAGCAGTAAGCAAAACTAACAGATCCCATATGCAGTATAAACATTAGTGAAATGTGTTTTCCTTTACCAGATTGGGAGAAAGCAATGTCGGTAACTGGCAATGTATGCCAATGGTAAACAGCACTAGGAGGTTGGGGATTGTCAATTATATCTCTCCAGATGAGAACTCTTCCTGTGTTATCACCAGTGGCTACACACAGTTCAGTGGGATGACAGGCCACACAGGTTAGATATCTTTTGCCAGAAACACGGAACCTGTCACAATCGAGATGTGAGGAAAGGGTACACCTAACATACATGCTGAACCTGCATTTCACTGACTTACCAATTACCCTTATTTCTTTGAAAATCAATAGTGTATAATTTGTCCTTGCATATAGCAACTACATATCTTCCATCTGTATGAGTACCAAATGCAAAAGCAACACTGTGAGTGGAGCTATCAAAACTGGAATAGAAAAGTGAATGGTTTTATTGATTAAATTATAATAATGGAGAAGAATGTTTGAAACATTTGATACTTCAATGCCCAAAACATACCTAAAATTTAGATCGATTTTGTGTCTGCCTCTAGAGGAAAACACAGACATTTCTGCTCGTTTAGTGTCTCTCTTTTGCCATGTCGCAAATACATCACAATCACCATCTTCAGACGGTAAGAGATCAAAACTAGTAACTTTCATGCATTCAGGAGCAAGTCTTAATTTCTATAAGCACAAAAAAATATGAAAATACAAGTTTTAGAATAATAAAACTAATTTTACTGTTGGTGGTGGCGGCAGACATTGTCACAATTAATATGAAGATTTAGCAGTCAAGAACTTAACGTACCACTGTCATCATGTGGATTCCTGACTCCCATCTCCAGGCCATCAGCTCTCCCTCCTCTGAGACAGCAACCACAAGTTCAGGCCTGGTAGCATGTAATTGTACTCCGACTGCTGGGTGAGAGAGGCCCTTGTAGTCCCGTACAAGCACCCCAGTTTCAGTATTGTATGCTCGTATGACATGGCCGTAAACTACATACAACAACCTGAAATAAACAGTAACAAAGTAAAGACAAGTTTAAGAATAAACTAATGTTTGAAAGTTGATGATAAATTAATCAGATTTTGTAATTTGATGTGTGCCCACAACAATAGGTCTTTTACTATATAGAGATGGAAAAGAGGGACGAAAGAATACTTTATATCTTTCAGGTTCGTCTGTCTACCCAAAGAATAATTTCAAAGAGCAAAAATATAATAAATAATAGATGGTTTGAAAGGAATACGACACTAAGAACATAACCTTCAAAAAGTGTGGGTATGGTTCAGATCTTAAAACAAAATATTTCACTACTTACTTGCCGTCAGGTGAAAATACTGGCCGACGATCAACTATGCTACCTCCACCTATTCTCTGTACAACATAATTATCGTCATTTGACGATATATTTTCATTTTTGTTTCGCGCCATGTGTAACATAACCATCGCGGTGTGTTGAGATTTGTACTGGTGTTGTGTGTGTGTGTGTGTGTGTGTGTGTGAGTGAATGTATGTGTGTGTATGTTCGTCGGTGCATATTCACATTGAAGTTATGTGTTGATTTCTCATTGTGTACGTTTGTTAGCCTCTAGCCCAGCCAACGTGTATAAGTTGCCAGCTAACCTTTCTCTTCCTTGTTGTTATCCCGGCACGCGCCGCGAGAACCAAGTGTTTTGTGATAGATTTGTGAAATTTGTGATGAGCCAAGCATATGACTCAATTTTATCTGGCATAACAATGTCTCCATTCTACAGTACGCAGTTTGTTGCTGGGTTGGGATTAGGTGTCGTGTTAGGAATATTTCTTATGTCTCGAAAATCCAGGAAATCAAAAGAGAAAATGAACTCTTCAGATGCTGAGGATGATGATATTAGTGAGGTATGTGTGAAGTGACTTAGATGTAGAATAAAAGTAAACGATAAATATAAAGAAACAGTTGCTATGGATTCTTCTTCCTAATAATCATTACTTGACATCACATATGTTTCCATATCCCATTTTTGGTTCAGGATTCTTCTGACGATGAGGCTGGAGAGGACAAAGGGGGAAGAGACATAAAACTCATTTTGGTTGTTCGCAACGACCTTAAAATGGGTAAAGGAAAAATTGCAGCCCAAGTATGTATTTGTGTCACTGATGTAACAAATTTTCCTGCCTTGATTTTCAGAAACTAATTCATTTCAACAAATTATTCTGTTAATATTTCAGTGTTCTCATGCTGCAGTCCAAGCTTATCAGCAAGCTAAAGCCCACACACCTAAAACTCTGCAATCATGGGAAAGGAATGGTCAGCCAAAAATTGTTGTGAAGTGTGAAACTGAGGTATGGCGGCATCAATTTTCTTGTCTACTATGCCTTTTGGATATCAAATTTTTCAACTTATATTGTGAATTTTCTGACTGGCAGGAGGAATTGCTGGCTTTGTCCCGTCACTCCAAAACATTGAATCTTACAACAAGTCTAGTTAGAGATGCAGGACGCACTCAAATTGCTGCTGGTTCCCGCACTGTCCTGGGTGTTGGACCAGGTCCGGCCAATGATGTGAATACTGTAACCGGGCATTTGAAATTACTCTAAAGAAATTTTATGTATTTACCAAATGCTAAGAATACTAATTAATCTTTTTGTAACTACATTGTGCGACCAGTTAAGTGCATTTACAACAAAATTCTGCGTATAAGAAAATACAAATGAATTAGTTTACAGAAAACTGATTTATTCCTTTTCAAAATCTTACACTTTCAGTTATCTAATTAAGTATGATATGGTAAAATAAAATAGTTTTCATAATGAGTGAAAAGTCATAAGAATCATTTGCAGTTCAATGACAATCTATTCTTAACACTATTACTGGCATCTGGCTTGTCTGAGTACAAACCACCTGTTGGAACAGATGTTGACGTCCTTTTTTCTTTCTTGCAAATGTTGAGGGAGGGGTAATTGTGGACAACTTTTTTGACTTTATAGGAATAATATTCTGTAACATAATGGCCTTGTCTTCCATGCTGGTTACTTGTCATGCTATTTTTTTGTGAAGAGCTTGCAGAGACTTTTTCTCCAAAACTTTGATGTCTCTCTTTTGTCCTTATGGATTCACTTGGTGTAACCTCTGTGCTCTCATTGTCACTCTGATCTGAGTGTTGAAAACTCTTCTGCCAGCTTTTGTTTAAAGGTTCTCTTTCCTCACTTCTACTTGAATCTCTAGATCTTCTAACATTGCTTCGACCAGAACCTCTTGCTTTTCTATCTTGGCTTCTACTAGAATCTCTAGATCTCCTTTCCTTGCTTCTACGGGAGTCTCTAGATTTTCTTCCCTCACTTCTACTCCGGTCTCTTGATTTACCCCTTTCCACACTTCTGCTGGAGTCTCTAGATTTTCTGTCCTCACTTCTACTAGTCTCTCTAGATTTTTTCTCCTTGCTTCTATGGGAGTTGCTAGATTTTCTTTCTTTACTTCTACTGAAGTCTCTAGATTTATACCTTTCCTCACTTCTGCTGGAGTCGCGAGATTTTCTTTCCTCACTTCTACTGGAGTCTCTTGATTTCCTTTCCTTGCTTCTAATAGAATCTCTAGATTTCCTTTCCCTGCTTCCACCGGAATCCTTCCCTTTCTTTTTTTTGCTCCTGTATAAATCTCTGTCTTCCATCTCATTGTTTTTATCATGATCTCTTGACTTCTTTTTGCTATCTGGAGATTTTTGGTGTTGGGATGAACCCTGCTCATTTTCACTCTTGGCTCTTTGTCTTTTCTGGATCCATTCTTCCTCTTCACTAGAATAATCATCTTGTCTTGAGTGCTTTCTTTTTTTGTCGATGGGGGATGACTTGTCACAACTTGAATTAATTAGTGATGACCTCTTTGACTCACGGCTAGGAACTTCATCCCTTGTATCATCATCAGATAAAAATGGGATGACAGTTTTGTCATTTTGAGTGGAGTACTTCCTATTCTTGAAAGTAGGGGATGATTTCTCAAAACTTGAAAAATGAAGCGATGACCTCTTAGAATCACGGGTAGTAGTTTTACCCCTTGCATCTTCATCTGATAAAAATGGGATGACATCTCTGCTTCTTTTAGATGGAAGTGCCAAAAAGTCACTCTTGTTTTTGCTTGAGGTTTGGGTGGATGATGGCTTGTTCCAAGGACTCGAAGCTGATTGCTTACCTCTTCTGATCAGTTCATGAGATTGGTGTTCTTCAAAGTCATTTTCAGCACTAAAATCAGAATTGACCTGTGGTGATAAGTGGCTTCTGAATGTATTCTTGGAATCATAATGTGAACTCTTTGAGGTAGGCTGATAGTGTGATTGATCCCTCTGGTAAAGGTTGTCCTCATGAGAACTGGTCTTCATTCTCTTCTTGGGCGTATCATATTCATCATTGTCATAGGAATAGGAGTGAATCTTACGTTTTGATGCCATTTGACTTGCTGGTAATGAGGATGGCCTTTTGGACTCAAAGTAATTACGGAAATTCTCTTGAGTCCTCTGCAAGTTTGGTGTCATGGATTTTTGAATCATTGGCTTTCTGTCAGGAATAGAATAGATCGTAACTTCCATGTCACAATGTGAAAAGACTTCTTTTACCATTTCATAGACCACAGGCCACTGAAGTCCATCAAGACCACATCCAATGCGTGGCATAGCAAGTCTCTTCACTCCAAACTCATCACACAAGTCTCTCATTTCAACTAGAGAGCTGAGCAATGTTTCCTCCGTTGGTTTGTTGTAGAACCATTGTTTGGTCACAAGGTAAAAAATGTACCTTGGTCCGTCCTTTAAATAGGCCACCTCTCCGACAGATTTCCCCTGATTCTTGAGATTTTCAACACAGCCAAACTTTTGTCTGCAAGTCAAAGCGATTAGGAGTGAATTGGGTGTATTTCATACCTTGATGTTAATTAAGCATCTTCTTGGGATGCATACTTACCGAAAAAGGACTGCAATCCCAGCTCCCATTTTCATGTCAGAGCTCACACAATGAGCCAAAGAAGTAGCCAAAGGGGCTGAGAAGAGGTCCCCTTGCTCCTCGCGAACCTCACATCTGACCATTTTTGATGAATTACGAAACATGAAAGTTTCTGCAAAACATAACAAGAAACATACTTCACAAAATCCAGATTTGATATAAAGTGGAATGTAAATCAAAATAAAGTGGCACATGCAGTGTACACAGTGTGCACGTCGAAGACGTTTCCACCACCTGTCAATGGTGATGACAGCAGACTAGGACAGCGATTTGCATTGAAAAATAATCGGGTACAGCCGCTTAAAGCATGTTTGCAAACATTAAACATAACCTAGCCAACAAACTTGCATCCAAACAATATACATGACTTAAAAATGAACCATTTTTCTGACAGAGCAGGCACGGCCTATGCGATCCCCGCACCGGTTTTCATTTGTTGCATCTGGAAAAGGCGGGAACCCGGTCCGGTAACTCAACGGAGGTGTTGTAATGTTTACTTATTGCTACTAGGTCTGCTATTACCTATTTGTACCGGGTGTCCCGGCTCTTACCGGGTGTTGCGGCTCTTACATGACAGTATGGTGGGTTGCATACGCGCCGTGGAGGCATGTAAGACATGTAAGACACCCGGTACAAGTGCGGTCGTGACGGCCAAACTCATGATCTAATCCCCACCACAAAGTTTTTTTTTTTTTTTTTTTTTT